TTGCTAGTCTAAAGGTCACTGTTTTACTGGCTTTTAATATTACGTTCAATTTAGATGAGTCGTTTGACAGTTACGTACCATTTTCTACTATATTAAATTTTCTGCTTTAAAATCTATAAAAAAGAAGGTATAAAAAAAACTAGTTAAAAAATATTTTTCTCTGATGGTGCATATGGATAGGCGAACAACAGACCTTTTAAGCCATTAAAAGCAACAACACTAGTAGATTGCAAAAGCACTGTAAGTAAGCAATGAAGGAACGTCTGAAACTTGCAAAGATACTGTTTTGCAGTTGTCGTCCTGCAATCGGGGAATGATCTTGATAACAGTACTTCAACATTGTCAACCCAATTTCTGCCTCGTCCTGTTACAACAGTAACACCTAGTCTATCCTGGACTAGCTCTATTCAAGTTACTCCAGTAATACCGTCCATTGTACCAACACGACCGTCGACTACAACAACGGTCAGGACCACACCGGTATTACTGACACAAATTTTTGATTGTCAACTGTACATCAAAAATCAAGCGAATCCTTCGTATAATTTGAACACAAGCTTTGAGTATCAGCAAGCATCTCAAATGATCTTCAATGCAGTTAGTTGTATTTCTGTTTCTTTTTTTTCTTCTTCTTTTTTTCAACTTTCTTTCAAATTGACGACTCTGTCTATGCTATCCTCTTGTACTGTAATATTTGGTAAAGAAATTTTATCACGCATTTAAGTTTACAATTTCAGCTCACCAGGATGCTTTCCGGTACGTCAGTAAAGCAGAATTTAGAAAAAGTTACTATTCTTAGGCTCACTAACAGGTGTGCATTTCTGAACTTCACATATAATATATCAATTTTTTTTTTGTATTTTAGTGGCTAATTTTAAAATAAGTAAACTAGCAACAAAAACTTTTTCAACAGTTTTTGACCTCTCAAGTTATCATTATGTTCTAGGTTGTAAGCCAGTGTTATTTTCTGTAAAACAGTTTATTTATTACAGCGGAGATGATTTACTTGTTAGATTCGAAATTAAACTTCAAACACCAAATCAACGTACTGCGAATGTGGAATTACTGCGAAACATATTTCAGAGCAATATGTTTTTACTGAAAAATTTATTAAATCAAATAGAGATCGACGAGACAAGGCTTAGCATTGTCTAAACTATTGTCTAAACTGCACAGAAATAAATTTGATCAAATAAACTTTAATTTTGTAACCATAACTAACTTATTTGGCAAGCTGGTGACTTGTTGTTATTGATCAACTTTGAAGGACTGTATAAAAAAAAAAAAAGTTTGCAGTATTTTTTTAGTACGGTTATTTTGTTGTTCTAAACCTGCATAATTTTTATGTTGAGAAATAGTAATCAAACCTCATATTGACTATGTATGAACATTGAATGCCATGACCAACAGCATTACGGTAAAAATGAATAAAATCTATTAAATTAATTAAATTTTTGTTTTTTATATTGTTGATTTTGACTTACGAATAAAGTTTTTTTGCAAATGTAACAACATTTCAAAAGTTGTAAAATTGCATGTAAAAAACAGCAACTGAAACACGCAACAGATATGGAGTAGAGATTTCACTGTTGAAAAGTCACTTCAGTTAAGTCTTTCTGCAAAAACACTATAGTAAGCAAAACACTACTGGCTTATTTTTTTTTTGGAAGTTTATCTAATCAGTAAGAATTTATAACGTTAGTTGACTGTTTCGATAATTTTATAAGGTATTTTAACATGATATTAGAAAAAAAATTTAGAGAAGAGGTTATTTGAGAGTGTTTTATAAACAAGCTGAAATTAGTGTAAACTGAAAAACAACAACTAAGTATATTAAACAGTTACAAACAACGCTAGACGTAGTGCAATAAGTAATAATAGTATAATAAATCTACGTTAAAACCTCTCAAACTTTAATTATCAAACGCAAATTTCGCTGCCAAATGTTTTCGAGGATGTGATAGCTGAGAAGTTGCACTATAGAATAATTGTAACTGCTCCCTTAATTCTATACTACTGTCACAAATCTTTGCTTTTATTTTTTAACTAGATTAAAATTTTTCATTATCAGAGAATTGTTTCATTTGTTCATTTGCAGCTGAGCAATTGCAGCCTAGATTCTTAATTTGACAAAATATTGGCTCAAAGCATGTTTGAGAGCTGATCAACAATGGCTTTACCGGAAAGAAGCTAGGCTTCTAAATAGGTTTTCTATAAATTCAAACTTAAATTTTACTCTAAGCTTATAGAAAGTTGTCATTGGTGTTTAGGATTTGCAGATTAAAACTACTTGGAAAACTACGACAGCAAATTGTTGCAGACTGCCGAGTGATTCTTTGCACGATCGGTTAGCTGAGATAGTTAAACACAGAACTGCCCTATTGACTGTTATTTATGAAGTTTTATCTGTTTTCTTCATGCATGAAAAATTTCATACGTCTGCTAAATGTTTGGTATATATTTAATGGTATATCATTTTCACTCATAATTAAAGTATAAATAATCATTTACTATCCAAATATATTTGGCTTTTGGTAGGCTTTTACAGTCAAAGGCTACTTGTTATTTTATCAAAATACTCTTAGAGTGTAAGCAATTCTAGATTTGTAAAAAAATAGCATATTAAATTAGAGAATGTCAAGTGATTACATTGATTTTGCTATCACTGTTCATCAAACTCTCAAGTTAGCTTTCTTTGTTGGCAACAGTGTTATGGTTCGTGTAAGAATTTCAGCTCCGACCAACAAAATTCTCAAGTTTTAACAATCAAACAACAGTGTTGTCATCTATTTACAGCAAACTTGGGTAGCAGAGACAGAAGAAGATACGTAACCAGTTTGCTGTGTAGACCTTAAAAGACGGTATAATTGGAGATTATAAAATTGAATCGCAGTTACGCGCTGGGCAGAATTTCACGGTAAAGTTCCATCAGCAGAACAAAACTTTGGCAGATACAACACCTTAAACTTGAGGTCTAGCTGAGATCTTAGTGCTGTTCAGCAGTATTTTAACAAAAATAAGAAGGCTATTTTGATATATTTTTTTTGAGTCGCTTTAATAATTATAAATAACAAAAGACTTTGCTTTTTGAAACTTTTTCCTTTTTGAACAAATTGTTTTATAAAAGATGAGGCTGTTTTCCAGCCAAAACACAACTCTGACGCAAACTTCCCCATTATTAGACTTCTAAACTCTTAAGACTAACAAATATTGTTAAAGAACAATAAACGTTACTCTATACCATTAAAAACTAAAAAAAGATTAACTGTATTGAACAAAGTAAAGTTGCTTGGTAGCTTGTACATTGCTCTTTTATAAGACAGTAAAAAAAGTGTTGAATGCTCGTAATCTCTAAAAAGTCAATAGTTTTATGAATGAACAACACCTAATAACATTTCTTATCAATGACTTTGACTTTATTTACACATTCCGAGACAGGCAGTGAAGAATTTTGCATATTTTTACCAATAACGGTCTCCAAATTGTTGCGAAAATCGTAGCAGACGAGAGCAAATGACTAAGGTTGACAATGAAGCTGAGCTATCAGAAAAATTGGACTAAAACGGTAGGTTTTATAATGATGATGCACGAGAACCAAGTGAAAGTCGAAGATCTTTCTACAAATAAAACAGGGAAATTGTCGCTCGTACTTTCTCGTTTTTTGTTTTTATTCAAATTAAACGATAATTTTTTTGCACTCTCATCAGCTAGTTCACTTATTTTTTAAACCTTTTTTTTTTT